AAATTATTCAGCTTGAACTGCTCCTTAAAATGACCCTCAGTAGAAAGAAGAGTGTCAGACATAAGACCCATGTTACCCATACCAGTAGAATCAGCATCACCTGGGAGCTTGTCAGAAATGAAGAATCACACACTCCACCCCAGACATGCTGAATAAGAAATCCTGGGTGATTCATTTGTTCATTAAATTTTGAGGAGACCAGTAGCCATTCTCATCTTCAATTAGAAAAGAGGTAGGAAGGAACTATACTTACTCATAGTTTCTGAAATAGTTCCTTCACCTGGGATCTATGCTCCCAGTTCTTTCCAGTGGCTGTAAACTGTCATGGAAATGAAATAATTTTGGACTGGTTACATGAGCCCACTGAGTTTCAGTTTTCCTCATCTGTCAAATGGGTATTACTAATACCTATAACATAGAATTGCTATGAGGATTAAATGAGAATGTATTTTTATCTAAAAATACGTGATATGGTCCCTGATAAAATTTAGACATCCAATAAAGGTAGCTATTATTGTTACTGTTATCTTTTTTGATCACAAAAGCCGCCTCTGTAATTTTAGAATGATTTGGTGTGATTTCTAAGGAATGCTAAAGGTCATACTGAAATAAGAACTCTACAGAAAGTTCCTTACAGTGATATGTGGCAGTGTTACATAGTAGCTCTGTCTCTAGGGCTTCCGAGACAAATCCACAGAGACCTCAAGAATGAAACAGGCTGAAGAGAAGTGACCCACTGTCTGTCCTGCGTCTGACACTATCGAGAAATTTGCCAGCTGGCTTGCAAGAGCAGATTATTTATTACAGTGATGATGTCAGAGGAAGTGAGACAGCTGGATTTCCAGATTCTGGGGAGAATTTGTGCCACCAGCAGCCCCTCAAAGTTATCTTTTGATTTAAAAACTGAGTACACTAGATATGGAAGTCATTAAAAGAGAATAAATATGAAACCCCATGAAGTCATTTTCACTAAGTCTTTATTTTAGAGTGTAACCACCCTTTAAGTAATAAAACATGACACACCGTGCAGTAGTTCTGATTAACAGACCTTCAGGTGTATACTAAGAAAAGAGGAAACATAAGATGGGGATAGGTGACAATTTTCCAAAAAGTGAAAGCAAGATCATGGCAGCCAAGTGTGGGCTGAGAAAGGAGGGTTTTATTAAAGGACAGAAAGCTTCTGGCTCCGTTTAATTATAAAATGCACAATTTAAATAAAATGTTAGATATACTTAAAATGTACACTTATCTAGTTACACAAAGGATTTGTATGTTTCCAGATATTTTTTCACTGCAATGTACTAGACATATTGATCAGTGATTTTCTCTATGATTTTAAAGGAGTTGCCAGGGAAAAAAAAGAGAAGGAAGTTGTGTCTGGTGAAGTGCTGCTAATCTGTCCAGCCATATGATGGGTTAGAAAGAACAGTAAGAACTCTTTAGGCCAACTGGCTGTTTATGTGGCGTCTGGGGTGTTGCCATTTAATGGATGTCTCAATGCCTAGCACAGCTCCACCATACTGGCCAAAAAGAGTTTGATTAAGACAACCAAGATTTTCTTCCAGTGAGTAACAACGATTCAAGTCCTCACCTGGGAGAGGCAGATGATGTCTTGTAGTGCTGTAGGCTAACATGTAAGAGGTGAGCTTTGCTTTTCTGGCCGAGTAAAAACTGCTGAGATCACCTGAAAAAGTCTGCTTTCCTCACCTAGATAAATACCATTATACCCACAGCATGTTTTGTTGGGCTTTTCATCTCTGGGTGAGAGAAAATGATTCTGTTGGAAGATAAGGATAGAAAGAAGATTAAACAATTAGTGCTTCTTCTACCACAAGAGGAGAACACAGCAAGAAAACTAGAACAGACTTGGTGGCAGTTATCTATGCATTTCTACAAGCAAATTAGTAATATAAGGAAAGAAAAATAAGTAAAAAAATCTTTGAAATCTAGAGCATGAGTACTGGGCAAAGCTAGGTGGAAAAAGAAGTGTTCATGTAGCATAACAGCAAGAGTGCCTATACTTTGTGTTTCTACAAGGTAATTAATTTAACCATAGCATTACTGCTCATGTTCTCACCAAGAATTCCAGCTGAACCTACAGCTTTTCCAAAGCATGAGAAAAGAAACAGCAGAGTGTTTCAGATTTTGGATTTTTTCAGATTTTTGGAATATTTGGAGAATACATACTGATTGAGCATCCCTAATCTGAAAATCCAAAATCCGAACTGCTCCAGTGAGCATTTCCTTTGAGCATCATGTCAGCATTCAAAAAGTTTCAGATTTTGGAACTTTTTGTATTTTAGATTTTCAGAATAGGGATGTTCAACCTATGTTGTCATACTTATTTCTACTGGTAATGTTTAAAAATTTGCTCCCTTGTTTTTTAAATCCACCCTCATTTTTTAGTCATTATTTAACTATGAAAAGATAGTTTTTAGTTCAGTTTGTTGAAGCAAATAAGGGAACAAGTTTGTTAATTTTTAGAACACAGCATATCCTTGCAGGCTGTACACCCCAGCCACACACTCTCTCTGGTCTGGTCACTGTCGATGGTCTGCTGGGCCTATTGGTGCCAAGTAAGCACTGATAGATATTTAGAGATTTGTGACCTTTTATATCAGTTATCCTTGCTCAGGCACTAACAAGGATGTGACCTTGAGCAAGTCAATTCTCTTAATCCCTTCCTCTGAAAAATGAGGTGGTCGGAGTAGATGAGCATTAAGGTCTTCCCAATTCAGTCTCAGTTCCCATAACTCTAAGCAAGATTCTTTATTCCTTTTAAATTTGGTTGGGCAGACATCAGCTGTGCACACACTTATGTGCAAGGCATTGCACACTACAGGGCACACAGAGTAAAAATGGTCTCTGCCTTGATGGAGCTTAAGGATGGGGAAGACAAATCACACAAATATTTATTACAATCAATAGAATGTACAAAGGGGGGTAGTGCAAAAAAGTGCTTGAGGATTCGGTAAGGGCACTTACCTTTGGGAAATGCTTCAAAAAATGAAGTGGCATTTGGATGGCCCTTAAAGAAGCTATATGAAGACATTAGAAAAAGGGAGGAAATACCACGTACATGGTGGGAAAGGGTGGGACTTTGCTGACGTGTAGAATGGACTGTAGAAATAAGAATGAGAAATTAGACTGTGGCCACATTGTAACAGCCTTAAATGCCAAGCTGAGAAGTTTGAATTTAATCCAGTAAGCAAAAAAAAAAAAAGTATTTTGAGCAAGGGAGTGATGTATTTAGAATGGTACTTTAGAAAAATTAATGCAATATTGATATGAAGGTTGGGCTAGAGGTAGAAAGAAGCTGGAAGAAATGAAACCAGTTAGGAGACCTTCACAGAAGTCCTGGCAGTTAGGTGGCAAAGGGTAAATAGATGTTGGTATAGAAAACAGGTATTAACTCAGGAAACACAGCCAGAGTAAAAATCACAGCTGATTTTGATACAATATTGACAGCTGACTGGATATGAGAAGCAAGAAAAAAAAAGGGAGATATTAAAGATGGCTCCTTAATTGTAGGCGCAAGTAACTGGATGAAGATGGTTCCAGTGGCAGAAAATGGGAAGTCTGGAGAAGTAACAGATTTTGAGGGACAGACAATGAGTTCTGTTCTCTATGGAGAAGTAATTATTGAGGTCATGGAGGCTGGGTATAGACAAAGCCTAAGGAGAGAATCTTGAGAAATGTCTACATTTAGGAAACAGGAAAAAGAAGACAAGCCAGTGAGGAAGGCAGAAGAGGGCACTGAGAGATGGCAGGGAAGTCAGGATAATGCAGTGTTCCAATGCGAAGGGAGGAGAGTTTCAGGAATAAAGTGGTCATTGAAGACCAATGTGGCTAAAGTGAAGAGGCCTGGGAAAAGACCACCAGGTTTGAGCCTCTGAGACAGACAACAGTCAATTCTGTAGCCCCTCAGGCTGAACTTCTCAGTGTTAGGAGAAATGGGGGCACGTAGAGGTTGCAGTGAAGGGCAGAGAGAAGGCCGGAGCTCAGAACGGGCCAGGTCAGTGGGCATCTTTAGAATAAGGAAGAACTGAGCAATAAAGAGGGAGAGATGGAAGTAGAATTAAGAATACCTGCAATGTGGTATCTTTACACAGTGGAATACTGTTCAGCCTTAGGAAAGAAGGAAACCCTGTCATTTGCGACAACATGGATGAACCAGGAGGATATTATGTTAGCTGAAATAAGCAAGGCACAGAAAGACAAGTACTGCATGATCTCACTTACATGTTGAATCTAACTCACATGCTAACTCATATTAGCGGAGAGTAGAGTGGTGGATGCCAGAGGCTGGGGTGGTTGGGGTTTGGGTATTAGAGGGATGTTGGTCAGAGGATACAAAATTTCAGTTAGAAGAATAAGTTCAGAGATCTGTTGTACATCATGGTGACAATAGTTAATAACAATGTATACTTGAAAATTGCTAAGAGAGTAGATTTTAAGTGTTCTCACCACAAAAATGATAAATATGTGAGGTAATACATATGCTAATTAACTTGATTTAGCCATTCCACAATATATACATATATCAAAACATCATGTTGTACACCATAAATGTAAACAATTTTTGTCAATCAGGAATACATAAATAAATACAATGAAGAAAAAAATGACACCAAAAAAAGAATTGGCTGTTGTAGGATTAAAGGACATTCTCCCCACTTCCACACCCACCAACTCAGCTTCCAAGTCAGAACCACAAAAATCAGCTCCATCTGCACTGACAGGGTGCTGCTGATGTGTCAGACCACACAGGCAGTCAGGTAGAAACTGAAAATGGCATCCTCTCTATCTCCCTTCCCTGGCTTAGGCCTGAATGGCATCCTCTCTATCTCCCTTCCCTGGCTTGCCATTCTCTGGTGCGAAGATGCAGAACTGGCCTCTCAACCAAGGCTTACAGTTGTCTCTATCAAAATAAATGATCATCATCACCATTGCCTATTCATTGAACAACCTTATTTTTGTATCTTTTGTGTCTGATCTAGATGCAGCTGCTCTTTGTTCCCTGCCCCAATGAACATCTGCACTAGGCCCAAGCCTCGGAGTGATTTACCTGAAGAGTGACACCATTTATTTGGAAACCACTGTGAGTACATTATGCCTCCAGTGAAAGCCGTCTTAGTTCACTTTGTTTAATAAAAACACACACACACAATTGTAAAAGCAGGTAAAATTTTAGATGGCTTCATCTCCTGGAAGCAACTAGGTAACCAGACTCAGTCCTGAGGTGCCCACAGTGGTTCTGAGATTCCCACCTGCAGTGCATGCCCTGTGCAGCACCATTTCCTCCTCGCCTGATGGCTGTGCTGAGCTGTATCTGAGCATACCTTTCAGACACTGGTGCTATTCTGCTCGGTCATCTGTGCCTCTACCTGAACTGTTTGTAGCTCCTCGTGATCTATTTGCTTCTCCTCACCTTTCTGTGCCACTCTGTTGAATCTCATGGTAGCTTGTTGTTTCGTGCCATTCTGGTCAAATCCATGAGCCAGCTTTGCTTAACTGTGTCTATCTGTTATCTGAGCTGCAGCCCTGTGCTGTTGCCTCCTCGCTACTCTGTGGAGCCAAGGCCCTGTCCTTGGAACTCTGCCCTCCTTCCACTACATCTCCAAGCCATCATACCCAACTCAGCTCTACTCTCTGGATGCATGGTTCTTTGTAGTTGGTTTATTTTCGTCCATGTCAGGCGTTTATGTAGAAGTGCAACCCTTGCATGGAAAGGTGCAGAAATACCTTGGGGTAGGAGATATGATACCTATAGGAAAAAAACTGATGAAAGATGGATATCAAGGATTCATTGATCATTGCTAAAAATAACAGATGGATATATGCTTTTTTCCCCTAGAAAAGCAAGAAATTTAAATTATTTAGAGGCTATGCATGCAAAATAATGCAATTATATATTTTAAAACAAAAACTCATGCTAGTTGTTGTATTCATAAGTTTTCATATATGGTATGAGGCAGGTAATGGGATGGTGTTTTACAGTCATTTCTGTGACTGGAAAATGCTAAACCTGGGAGACTAGCATCCCTGCAGGCTTCAGGTAGGATTTTCACATTCATATTTTCTATGTCTTTACCTATTCTGGCATAAATCGAACCCAAAGGGATGAAGCCAGAATTTTGTTTTATTTGTGTTGCTTTTTACCTCTAATGTTTTCAGTCACCTGGATCATAATTGATGAGAGCTGATGTGTAGGTGATGGACAGGCCTGCCTATCCAAGATGGGGATGGGAACCATCAGAGCATTCTGCAATACTAATAGGAGCGGGGAACTGGGGGCTAAAGACATGACAGAAGCTCAAAAATAGAGTTTTTTCAGTCCAAACCCATGCAAGGAACTTATTTGTACAATATCTTCATTTATCCTTAAGTTCAAGAGCAAAGAGCACCTTAGAAATTCCCATATCTGGACAATTTTCTGAGTTTTTCTTCATCACAGAGTAACTATGCTGGTACAAGTAAAACAACTACACTAGGATGAAGACTGGTTTCAAAGTTTGTGTATCTTTTAGGAGAGAAAAGAGTCCTTACTACTCCTACCTTCCTGTGCTACACAGAACCTAGATCCAGGCCCAGAAATCAGGACCCGATGTTTCCTGAAAATTACAGGGAAGCCCACAAGTGAGCATCTGTTTCTGCCATAGGAAGTATTTCACCTGTGCAGAATGTCAGTGCCCGCTTTCAATTCTCACGGGCCCTTTGAGAATGGGCAGATTGGGTTATAATTCTGAGAGTTTCTGCTATTCAGAAATTCAGCTTCTTCAAATATTAAAGAGAAATTATATTAAAAATTAAACACTGAACCAGGTAGTGAAAGGGTAAATTGTAAGAAAATGTAATAAGCAAGAGTGCCATAGGTTGGTTTCAAGGAATAGACCACCGTGCTCAGGCTTGATGGACTTCTACAGGCCAATTGCAGCTCACTTGACACTCAACTTCAGGGAGCTCTTGGTATAGCCCCAGCAATAACAAATATGTGAACATGGGCCAGCCCAGTGGCGCACTGCTACAGTGCGCCACTTGGGAGCGCGGTGGCGCTCCCATCGAGGGTTCAGATCCCGCATACAGACCAGTTCCCCCTCACTGGCTGAGCGAGGTGCGGGCGCAGCACCGAGGGTTGCAATCCCATTGCCGGTCCCAGTCTGGTATGGGCGCGACACTGAGGGTTGCGATCCGTTGCCGGNACAGCACCGAGGGTTGCAATCCCATTGCCGGTCCCAGTCCGGTATGGGCGCGACACTGAGGGTTGCGATCCGTTGCCGGACACGAAAAAAGACAAAAAGGAAAAAAAAAAAAAAAAACAAATATGTGAACAGGAAGATGTTGGGAATGTAATACAGTGAGATCAAAGTGGTGAAGAAGAGATTGCTATCCTAGCGTTCTTTCTGCCTTTGCTTCAGTAACAACCCATTAGCCCCTGTCCCAAATCTAGGTATCAAAAAAGATTACTAAAATGGAGTAAATGTCTTCTTATAAGTGAAGAAACATGATGAAAACCACAGAACTAACACTCTAGGAAAAGAGCTACCATTATTGAGCACTTATCATGTGCCAGCACTATGCTAATCACTTTACATGGTTTATCTCATTTATTCCGAGAAGGCAGGTATTATTATTCCCATTTTATAGATGGGGAAAATGAGGCTAAGAGATGCCACAGAGTAATCTGCCTAGGGCACACAGCTACTAGGTGGTGGAGCTCAGCTCTGCTACCATTCCTGGTTGGGGTGGTTTGTTATCACCTCCACTTTCTTCCCTTCACAGACATTTTTAAGCCTTTTCCATGTTTTATTGGATAGGAGAATAAGGAAATGGTGACCACTCCAAAAAGACTGGGGGAGGCATTACTAGTCTAAATTATCATAATCTGATGACTGAGTAATTATTTATCAAAAGGAGGTTCTGACTAATTCTTTCCTATCCAACCAGGCTGATAAGTAAAAGGCATGTTTAATGTGCAGGAGAGTGTGGGAGCCCAGTGAACGGAGAAAATTGGGAGAGAGAGATAGAAGAAAGCACTCTCCTCTCAACAGACCCTGGAGACTGATAAGAGCTCACACAGATAAAATATTTATTTTTCCATATGTTGCAGAAGCATTGCCATCACTGTATGTGTGCAAAATGTGCAAAGGAGTATGAAATATATATATCAAATGCCACCGCTCTGGTTAATTTCCATGCATTTAACATGCTTAATACCTACCATCTCATCAATATGTTTTAATGCATATTTCTTTCCACATACAATATGGTCTAGTTAGGAAAGAGCCAACATCCTCCACAGCCTTACTCACTGCTATGTTTCAGCCCAAAACTTGTTGCCAGGGCCAGCACAATGAGAGTTAAAACCCAGAAGTTTCCGCTGGCTAACTCAGCTGCCAGTCACCTTAAAACGCCTTCCTGGTTCTTGGAGCAGTCTTTTTCTCATAACAGAAATGTTTGCAGTGGGGAGATGAGAATGTTTTTGTTCTCTGTGGACATTTGCAAGATGTTCAGTCAGAATGTCAGAACTGACCATTGAAAGGTGGGTGCCGATGGCCACACTTCTTTTTTTTTATTTTTTATGCAGAGTTCCACCAGTGTGGTAGGAGGAAGTGCACAATGATTGGTCTGTTTCTCTGTGGAAGTGGTCAGGATACACCCAGTTTTGCTTTGCATATATTTGCAAAACATCTGCCCTGTTCTTGTTCTTAAGACCTTCCCCCGCACCAGCCCCCTTTCCCCTTTTCCCTGGTTTCTTTGTTGTTGTTGGCTTGTCTAACTTTTTCATTGGAGCTTTCATTTTCCGGTTGAGGGGCGACTTAGTCAGTGTGTATAATTTTAACAGAAAGAGAGAAAGAGGGGAGAGAGAGAGAATGAAAACTGAAAAGAAAGAAAGAGACTGAGAGGCCAGAGCTTGGCAAACCAACCTTTGGCATAGTGACCGGGAGGAAGGTTCTGGTCTGGATTTTGCCTCTCTGAAGTGCTGCCTGGAGTCGGCCAGTGTGCTGCTGCCCTCTAAAGGCTCCAGGGAATAACGTACAGCCACAGAGGCTGGGAGAGACTTGCCCTCAGATGTGCCATGCTTATATAATTCTTTTTATACAACCAAAGAAGGTATTTTTGATTAATTATGACAGTGCTTACTCTTTCCTCCTGAATAAACTATGAACTGTAAAGATGGTGTCAAATAACAGCACCTAGACATAGACTGGTGCTATGTTTTAGTGTTTCTCAGCTCCAGAAAAAGGAGTCCAAAAAAACTATTAGAGAGGGTAAGATGGGAAATGAATTGCTTGTAAGGACAGCGAGTGGTTCTGTCTGTTATGTGGGCAGTTGGGAAATAACCCAGTGGTACTTGTATAAGGATAAGAAAAGTGATATTAGGCAAATGAGGGGGTAAGCCAAAAAGGTTGAGTTTTCAATATTTCCTATTTATAGAGGTGGCTCCAATGTCTCTGTGCTACGAAAATGTATCCAAAAGTGATCCTTGAGACAACAAACAGGAGGGTGTGGTGCAAGATGTCAGGTGGGAAGCAGGGTCAAATCTAGGGAAGGAAGCAGGGGCATTGATATCAAAGAACAATACAATTTTTGCAATGTTAAAAATAAAAGAGTAATTAATGTTGGTGATTTGGCCATGTAATCATGTTTGAAAGAGGGCTTCCTTAATTTTCTGAAGCACACATCTAAAACTAGTCTAGGCTTGTCTATAAACTTCAGAAATAAACATTTTTTTTCTGCCAGGTGATACCTGTCACTCATGTTTTGCCTCTATATTTAAATGAATCATGAGGATCTGCCACCTTTACTGAGCAAAATGGTCCTACTCTCATTAAATGTCCTTCATGGATTCAAAGGAAAAGCAGCCAGTCAAGGTAGATTTCACTGCTACATTAATTGGGATTCAGACGATGACTGTTCTCAAAATATACTTTAATTTCAGCTTCATTTCATTACATCAACAAACAGTTATTAAATGACAGCTTTGTCTAAGCTACTCTGCTTAACTGTATAGACCAGTAGACAGTAGACTCTGGGAAGGGAAAAGCCAAGTTTCTTTTATTCCCTAACCCATGCTGGCACATCACGGGCACATAATAAATTTCTATAAAATGAATATGTCAATAATGAATAATGGAACGGAATAAAGAAGGAAAGAATGGATGAACACAGGAAATACAGAAATAACTAAGATATTTCCTTACCCTCAGAGAGCTTACAGTCTCATAGGAGGGATGAACACATAAATAAATAACTATTACTGAAATAAAATTTAGTGAATAAAATAAGATTACTAAAAAATGTTTGGGAATTTCAGAGAAAGAAGGAGCGAAGATTTCAGAGAGAGAGAAATTCCTACTTAGTAAAGAGAATCAAGACTGTTATAAGATAGAGACAACATTTAAATATGAAGGATAAGTATGATTTCAACAGGCAGAGATGAAAAAAGTGGTGTTCAAAGCAAGAAAAAAACTTGAGTGAAGATGAAGAGCCAAGAATGTAGATTCTCGGGAGGTCCTTGGAATTTTCAAGAAATTTGAGAGTCTGCTATGGCCAATATATAGGACACATGAGGTAAACTAGAGTGATATGGAACTGACCTTAGATGTCAGGCTAGCATGTTTATGTCAGATTTAGTGACTACAAAGAAACAGAACTAGAGTGGTCAAGGATGTTGGAGAGCCAGTTAGTAAACAACAGTCTAGATCAAAAAATGGTAAAGTAATTGTGGTAAAATTAGAAAGGAAACACAGATGTGAAAAATTTGGAGGAAGCAGAATTGTCAGAACCTGTTGGTGAACTGGCTTTAAGGTAGAGGAAGGTTTATAATGACCCTGTGGTTTCCAACCTGGTGACAGACAATAGTGGTAGAAATAGGGACCTTAGAGGAAGCATTGGTTTTCATGGAAAAGAGGAGTTGAGCTTTAGACACTTTGATCTTGGATACTCTCTTAAACTGAAAACCAGAGCTCCTTGGGGGTCCATATAAACACTCAAGATTCGGGGATTTGTCCGATAGTCACCCATTCAACAAGAAATTGGTAAGGCATTGCAATTTGTTGCTTCTCTTATATTGGCATCCTCCACACTGAAAAAGATGTCTGAAAGCGTCTCCTCTATCCTAATCTTTACCATGCCATTTCTGCCTCCTGCCCTCTGAAGAAACAGATTTGATTTCACAACCTGTTGGACCAAAAACACAGCGTACTAATCATAACACCATATTCTGCGAGGGCAGATTTAACTACCCAGTACAACAAATTTCAATACAAAATATTCTGCATAACAAGTCCATTGCCATGCTCATAGAAACAAGGCAAACTTGGAAACAAATCTACATACAACATCTTCTCTACCACACATAATCTTCTACAAAAAAAAAAAAAAATCTTTTTCTTGTTACTCTCCATATAATAATAGAAAAGGCACAAAGCGAAGGAAATTGGGGAAATGTTTAGGAAATAATAATCCAGTTTGGCTGGTGTCTAGGGTATATGTACTGTAAACTAAGTATTTATTCATTTAGTACCAGTTACACCATCTTGGGGAGAGGAGACCATGAGCTGACTGATAGCTAAGCTATTTTACTTCCTACTCCTGACCCCAAATAACAATTAGAGACAATGACTTTCTAATTCCCTTCACCTAAACACATAAGCACACTCCTAAACTCCAAGATCATGCACTAAATCAAAAACAAAGGGAATATTAAGTGTAAGACAAGTAAATAGTTGGAATAGAGGGTCTCTATATAACACCTTTCCTCTTTACCTGCTGGCATCTAAGCCCTTTTCACTTTTCACTTGCTACTTTAACAAAAACCTCCATTAGTACCCCTCTCATCTGTATAGCCTGCAAGTTTAGAATGTGATTTGAAATTATGTATTGATCTGCAATAAAATCTAATAACAGCAAGAAAGTTGAATGTTCCATATTGTGTTCCATGAATAGAAACTTAAAGCTGGAAGGAACCGTTAAGGCCTTCTAATCCAAGCCCTTTATTTTACAGATGAGGAAACTGAAGCCCAGAGAGGTGAAGTGAGGTGCCCAAAGCCACACAGCAAGTTAGAGGCACAACTAGTACCATAGCTCAAGTCTCCTGACTCCCAGTCCAGTGCTCTTCCCATTACTCCACGGGTCCTGTCTCTAAGCTTCCTGACAAATGCTAGAACGGTAAACCTCCCCTAGTATTTTTCCAGACCATGTTAAAACTCTTAAGCGGGGGGAAAGGATGCTTTCTTGGGTAATGTCAGCCATACGTAGCTCAAGCTGTCTAAAGTTCTGGGACAGGGTCTTTTTATGCAGCCAACAGAGTCCAAATGTGGTGCTGTTTGCTTGGCCCATATGCTTTCATGTGTTCCCAGTTAGGCCATTCCTGGAGGGAAAAAAACAAGAATCAGCTTGTTTTAAAACAAGGGACATACTGGACTCCCTCCCATCCCCCTACAGAAAAAAAAAAAATCAAGTTATCTTTAACAGATTCTAAAAATGCCTTTTCCCAAATATGCAGTCAGTTCCTTCAAAGGGCCCTTTGTTTATTTTCAGGAAGAAACCCAAGACAGCTGGAATGAAATAACTTGGGGTCTAATCTGAAAAACTATTCCTTTTAGTCTTAAGATACACAACTCTTCTCAGATGATCTCCATAAAAGATGTTTGGCAAAGAACTGACATATTCTTTAGAATGAGTAAGATAAAACCAAGAGAGTTTTATTTCAAAAAAGGACTCCATTTATCCTACCCACAAAGACAAAAATTATTAATTAGGAAATGAGATTCTAAATCTCCTATTGTTATTTTTCTGGCAGAATAAATGTAAAATTCTGCAAAGGGGGCAAAAGGGTCTGGGAGATTCCATTTCCTACTAGTTTCAGAATAATAGTCTCTAGATAAAGGAGAAAGACTTAGGGGCAGGAGGTGGGGTAAACACAGTTCAGTCTACTTATGGCTGGGCTGAGATCACACTCAAAGTATCACTAGAAAATAAAAAGACAAGTAACGAGACCCAAATCTCTATAGCCCCTGTGATTTGTACATTCAAAGTCACAGCTTCTGCAGAGAAATCTGAGAGTCAGAAGCTGGGACTGTTTTCTGTGGACCATCGTGTTAGTCATATCCATGGACCTTCATGCCTGGCAGTCTCCAGCCTAATAGTAATTACAGGAAGAAGTGGAAAATAGCATGGCAGAGTGCCCATAGACATGTGCATACTTTCCCTACCTACCGGGAAGGTAGCCTGTTCCTGTGGTGAAGGGCCTGGAGCTTCTACATGCAGACCTTCATTGCCTGGCTTTCTGCCACACTTTATAGGGAGGATGACATAGAATGGCCTTAGCTCAGAAATCTCTTGTTACAGCAAAATGAATGTTTTGATGAATAGAGAAAGCATTGGGCTTCATTTGTTGTACTTTACCATAAGCATTCTCTGGCCAGGCCTTGGCATTTACATGAAATATAGTTAAGGAACAGTACAAATATGGTGTGCAGTGACCAGGAGGAAGCCAGTGGATCTGAGCTCAGTAGGGTATCTGAATACAGTTGGATGGAGAACAAACTAGGAGGAGAAACCTAATCTCCAGCTGTTTAGAAAGTCATTTTGATTTTGCCATTAAGTTGTGTAAGTCTTCTCTGCTCCAACCTGTTGTTTAAATTGATTATACTTTTCTCCAAGTATATTTGGATTGTAGTTTGTCCTGATTTGAGCTTACACTTAGAAGAAAATTGTTTTTAGGAAAGATTCACATAAATCTGTCCATTTGGAGATTGCTTGAAAGAAGACAGGAAAGAGATTTATTTTAAGCTGTTAAAATTTTTGGATGCTCTTCTTGCATTTAAGAGATTTTTTTTTTTTTACTTTCAAATGTCATTCTTACCATAGATTAATTTAAAAGCCTAATTCCTTTAAGGTAAAAAATTCTGTTCCTATTTAGAACAGATTTGGGGCATTTAAAAATAGTGCCCTTGACTTGTTAGTCTCTATAACTTCAAAAACATTCCACTAGTGTGTGGTGTTCTAAGCTTTCAAAAGTGCCTGAATTTTTATAGCACCTTTTTATTTGTCATGTGTTTAGTAAAATTATTCTTAGTCATGCCTTAATGACCATTTCCTGTCAGGCAGTATGATTCTTCCCAATTTATAGATGAGAAAACTGAAAAAATCGACACCTAGATAGATGAAAGACTTGCTCGTGGTTAACTAACTCATTTGAGTACTGAGGGGGGCTTTATGGATCTGTCCTCATTGTGAGCAGGCGGGATTCTCAGTTACAAGCCCAAAGATGGTGTTTCTGGCTCTAAACAGGCATCTTGAAAATGTGCAACTATTCATATTGGTGACTGAGTTATAAAACACGATGGATAAAGCATCACCACAAAAGAAAAGTCAACCCTGCGTATGAACTGGTAAGGGTGGGTAAGCCACAGTGTTTTTCCATAGGAAGGACTTAGGCCATGTTTTAGAGCAAAGAGGGCAGTTCTGACCCCTTAAATTCTCAGCTGGCTATTTAACCTGCTGAGCCACTTCAAATTTGTCAAAAGACCCCAATGATATTCAAAATGGGAAGAAATATAGTTGAGATCTACTTTCCTTTGTGAGATGATGAGGTTAATATTGCTGCTGAAATGTGTGCTTCTTTGCAATGCACTCACTAATACAATTTCCTTTTAACAATATTCCCCTATTACCTCCTAGCTTGTCACCTCTTCACCATTTCTAAAAATCTAACAGTAAACAAATTCAGATGTTAATAATGGAACGTATGAGTTTTGGAATGCAAAGGGTACAAAACCCTAGATGTTTGACAGAGCATTTACCCACTAAACAGGCTGAGTATGAGCTGAGCCAAGCTCTTCCCTTTAAATGCTTCAACAGAACTAAACCAAGTCAGTAGAGCAGATGAAGCTCTCTATATGAAAAACCTTTCTTGACAACTATCAAGCTGTAGCACATCACAGTCATATACATGTGATAGACACGACCAGAACTTTTACTTGCATATTTCTTCCATTTTGCTTCCCCCCAAATAAGGCTCCTGTTGAAGGGAGAAGTAATTTTCCTCCCTTTGGTTGTCCTCCCTACTTCCAGCCATAGATCCACCTTTCTGATGCTTTTCTTTTGTTGGAAGCTGATATCTGTGATTACTTACCTTCCCCTGTTTTGCACTGGCCTCATCAGACTGTCTTGTTTTTTGTGTCCTTGCCAAGATGCACTTACACATTAACAGTTTTTATTTATTTTTAATTTAACCTTTACACATTACCAAACTGTTGTGTGGGTGGGTTTAACTTTAGCTTTGTAGGTAGCATGACTCTGCTGTGGCTGAGCACTGTTGAGGAGACTGGTGGACTCTTCCTTTTCTCTCTTCCCTTCTACCTTCATTGGCCTTCCCCCTCCCAACCATTTGTTTCATTTGTCCATGTCCCCATGATTAAAATTTTTAGAACACTTCGCTCATTTTGAACTTTTAAGCAATTTTTTAGAGAACAAAACAAAGAGGATTTTTATGGCAAACTCCAATAATGCCACATTAAGGCTGACATTTTAATTACCCCAAAGTCAGGAAATGCAAAGTTCAGGTTCCCACAGCAACAGAAACTGTCCCCTTGAGTGCCGGCATCACAGCAGACTCTTTCATTCCCTGATTACACAACGCCAAGCATGGGGACATTGTTTTTATCCACGTATGTGGAAAGGAACACCACTTTTATCCTTTGTTTTTTTCCTGTAACTACAGTTGAGGATATGGGTCTTTAGCTTCCCTCCCAAAACCATCTATATGTATTATCCTGGAACGGAAGACTATTATAGCTCTACATGTGCACACGGACAGAATTAAAGTTGCTGTGGGAACATTAGCTCTGATTTCCGGACTTCCGTGCCAGTCACATTTAAACCATAATGTTGTAATTTTTGGCGTGTAATAAATGTGCATTTCATGTACACAGACAGAAAGAAGCATAAAATGTATTTTAAAGAGCAATTAATTACTAACTTTGTGATTAAAAAACATTTGGTGCATGTTCCTTCCCATTTAGCGTCAGCTGCTGGTCTTAGCCAGGCCTAATAGATGACATACTGTGTCTCATCCTGTATCTCAGATGTACTTACTGTATGTTCCTGTTCTTCCAGATAATTAATTCCCTTAGTAAAGCTGTAGGGGGAAAACAAAATGGAAGGAATATCCAAGCATGTAAACAGGGTAAGGGATATTTTGAAGGAAATGATTCATTTCTGCAAATAAACCTCTTAGTGCCTGATAAAGAGCCAGAAATCTGCTAAGTGGGTGTAGACAAAGGTTTCTGGCCACCTTAGAGCATCTGTTCCAGGGCCATAAGAACAACTTGAAAGCAGATTTCCCTGTGAAATCCAGGCATGCCCACTGAAGGAGTGATTTTACTCTGTAAGAACTTTTTAGGCTTAAGGTTTAAAAAGTTATTTTACTCTGTAGCAACTTTTAAGTTTATATTCAAAGAGGAAAGAAAAGTTGTAGGGAATTAGGTAAGACGTGGGCTTTCCTACAAAACCCCTGACTTAGTAGTGTTTTCTTCTTTTACATTTGAATCTGTTTGGCCTATTCATGTTAGAGAAGGAAGTGTTTCAAAACAACTGTTTGAACAATTTTGTGAGTGAAAGGTATTAGTAGCTATACTCCATGGTGCAGTGTTCAAAAATGCAAATGCTTGAGTGTATATTCGAAACTGGGTGAGATGAAAATTTTGCTGAAAGGTCGTGTAGCTTAAACTCTCAGGTAAGGCTTTATGAGAGGCACGCTCAATGAAGAACCTTTTGCTATTTGTTCATTCTTGGGTGAGATGAAAATTTTGCTGAAAGGTCGTGTAGCTTAAATTCTCAGGTAAGGCTTTATGAGAGGCACGCTCAATGAAGAACCTTTTGCTATTTGTTCATTCTCTTTACTGTCATGTATTCCTTTTTGTTCAGTTTGGTTGCATATGGTATTCAACCTTTAAGAAAGATACTTCAGTTTAACAGAGATCTGATTTGCTTCTACTTGGGCTGTCTCTATGTGTGAATGTATGTCTATATGAGTGAAAACTGCTCAAGCAAGTTTGAGGGTCTGTTTGGCAAATTTGACTGTGTGTTCAGAAAGTTTCCAATCAGAAAGCTGATTCAGTGTAAAACCTTCCAAAAACTTTCTGAGGCACCTGTTCACATGAAAAGATTGAATTTCTATTGGAGGTGCTCAGAAGGCAGTGTTTATAACTGAAGATCTCTGTTTAGGGTGCCAAAAAATGAAAAACATTTTGGCCCCAAAAAACCTCCATAAATGTTCAAAATGTATAATCAAACAAAAGCTTCATTTGGATTCAAATGCATGTATCTCAGCAGATGTGTCTAAACTAACTGGAATCCCACAGGAGCAGCTGAACTGGATTTTGGTATGTCTTGATAACTGAAAGAGTTATTCTTAGACTTTGGAAGGACAAAAATGGTCCATCTGTGAAGAACTGTAATAGAGACATAGCAAAAAACAGCATCCTCTGAAAGAGTTTATTTATGGAATTTAGGACAAGTTGGACAGTCCTGAAACATTTTGGGGTCACATTAA